TGCTTGCACAGGTTCTGCACGATCCTCTTCAATAATATCCTCTGCTTCTCAATCGGGCTCAAATTGATAAGCAATATAGACGACGTCATTGTTTACAATACAACCGGAGCACATGCCGCTGAGGTGAGGGGCGGGACGTTTAGACGCACGCTAGAGGCTGTTTAGCCAATCACAACACACTGGGCCAGCTAACCAATCAGAGCACATCGTGAATTTCTGAGGGAGGGGCTTCATAAAAGCAGGAAATGATCAGCTCGTTCAGAGGAGAAGGGACAGAGCGGTGTGGAATAAAGGTAAATTATGTGAAAAATAGTGCGTTTTTTAACAAACGAAGCATTAACACATGTTAGACTGCCCCCCATAAACACAATCAAGCCTATAAAAAAAACAGTCAACCATCCCTTTAAATCACGATCCAAAAAACGAATCAAATCATTTTCGACCTTTATGTGCAGAGTTAGCTGACTCAGGCACGGGCAAAAGCTAAAGGATTTATTTATTTTATGGTTCGTGTTGTTTGCTATATTTCATAAGATTTCTTAATTTATCATAATAACGTCTAATGGTTCTGGGTGTAAATGGTGTAAATGTTCATTGGATTCATTTTTTTATTTTTTATTTTACAAGTAGACTATGAGTTGTTACACTACTAGTTACATGACAATTACAATTAATGAAACTTATTAATTAATATAATATATAATTAATTAAATTATGAAAATAAATCTAGGAATTATTGTTTGTTGAATTTTAAATCAGGAAGGGTTGAGGCAAGCTAACAAGCTGTTTTATGGTTAGTAATTGTAATTTTATTTCTGAAATCTTATTAATAATTAGCTACACTACTAGTTACTGCAAAAGTTCATATGATTACTGTAACTAGTTACTGACTAACACTGATAACCAGGGTGTGTGTTGTAAATAAAAATTAATCATGCCGTTTTCTACCATCTAGTTAGGTTTTCCTGACCAACATTATATTTCTAGAATGCTTGGAGAGAAACAAATAAATAACCAAACAAGAAGCATAAACTACAGTAACGTTCTGTCAAGTTCAATCTCTTGACTGTGTCCATGAGACAGTGTGGGCAGTAATATAAGGGACAGCATAATTTAATATGTAAAAATGCATGTGCAACTTTCACTTTTAAATATTTATACCTTCAGGACTGATCCATCTGTGGGTTAGTAAAACTA